TTTTTGGGTGATTAGTGCATTCCAGTGACATAAACGTACAGTTTCCAGCCAACGGCAAGCTGCAATTGACCGATTGTGCTAAATAAACTGACTTTCTGCTTCACAACCACTATTGTACGTTCAAAGAGTTAAATCCATTTACACGCCGGCTGGCGGTAATATTTTTTGGGTGATTAGTGCATTCCAGTGACATAAACGTACAGTTTCCAGCCAACGGCAAGCTGCAATTGACCGATTGTGCTAAATAAACTGACTTTCTGCTTCACAACCACTATTGTACGTTCAAAGAGTTAAATCCATTTACACGCCGGGTGGCGGTGGTAATATTTTTTTTAGGTGATTAGTGCATTCCAGTGACATAAACGTACAGTTTCCAGCCAACGGCAAGCTGCAATTGACCGATTGTGCTAAATAAACTGACTTTCTGCTTCACAACCACTATTGTACGTTCAAAGAGTTAAATCCATTTACACGCCGGGTGGCGGTAATATTTTTTGGGTGATTAGTGCATTCCAGTGACATAAACGTACAGTTTCCAGCCAACGGCAAGCTGCAATTGACCGATTGTGCTAAATAAACTGACTTTCTGCTTCACAACCACTATTGTACGTTCAAAGAGTTAATCCATTTACACGCCGGGTGGCGGTAATATTTTTTGGGTGATTAGTGCATTCCAGTGACATAAACGTACAGTTTCCAGCCAACGGCAAGCTGCAATTGACCGATTGTGCTAAATAAACTGACTTTCTGCTTCACAACCACTATTGTACGTTCAAAGAGTTAAATCCATTTACACGCCGGGGGTGGCGGTAATATTTTTTGGGTGATTAGTGCATTCCAGTGACATAAACGTACAGTTTCCAGCCAACGGCAAGCTGCAATTGACCGATTGTGCTAAATAAACTGACTTTCTGCTTCACAACCACTATTGTACGTTCAAAGAGTTAAATCCATTTACACGCCGGGGCGGGCGGTAATATTTTTTGGGTGATTAGTGCATTCCAGTGACATAAACGTACAGTTTCCAGCCAACGGCAAGCTGCAATTGACCGATTGTGCTAAATAAACTGACTTTCTGCTTCACAACCACTATTGTACGTTCAAAGAGTTAAATCCATATACACGCCGGGTGGCGGTAATATTTTTGGGTGATTAGTGCATTCCAGTGACATAAACGTACAGTTTCCAGCCAACGGCAAGCTGCAATTGACCGATTGTGCTAAATAAACTGACTTTCTGCTTCACAACCACTATTGTACGTTCAAAGAGTTAAATCCGTTTTTTTTTTTTTGGGGTGCTTATTGAATTAAAGAGTATGTCAGACAACACGCAGAGGAGTGGCAGAGGAGGCAATGTTTCAGGAGCGAGCAGACGTGGCAGCAGAGGAAGGGGTCGAGGCAGCACTAGTCGCAGCCAGAGGCCAGTGCTCCCGGTGTCATCCAGCGGTCGTGTCTCCACCGACAACCCTGCCGTCATCGATTGGTTGACTCGGTCGTCTTCCTCTTCCCAGGTCACCTCTGACACCTACAGCCAACGGTCGGTGGGTACGTCAGACACAACCGTTAGTTGGCATGGCCCGGGAGCAAGCCCACTGAAATCACGTGTCCTCGACCTGCCCCTGTCCTTTGGTGTTCCCTCACCAAGCGAATATCGCATGCTGTGGGCTCAGCCCCACTGTACAGTGAGGAAGAGCTAACAGAGGGCGGTCAGGAACGGGGGGAGAGACATCCGCCTCTTCAGCAGCCAGGCGAAGAAGTACTGGCGAGGAGAGAGTGGCTCGGTAGCCGGTCTAGAGACAGGTCTGTCTCCTGACCCACACGCAGCCGAGGGGGCTAGTAGTGACGCGGAGACCCTAATTGATGATGATGAGGCTGATCGCACTTGGCAGCCTCGTCGTCATCAGGCTATTGCTTCCGCATCATCAGGAGAAGAGGGTGCCAGCTTGCCAGCGAGCAAAAAACAGTCGGTGGGTTGCCCAGGAGGCAGCAGGGTCGCAGCAGTGTCAGTGGAGCCAAACGGCCACGGAGTAGAGCACCAGCTCCACTGCAGCCTACCACCACGGCCAGTAGTGGTGCCGGTGTGCACGGAGGAAGTAGCAGTCAGCCAGTGAGGAGTAGCGGGGGCAAAGTTTCCTACTCGGCGGTGTGGCAATTTTCGTCAAGCCGCCCGAGGAAGTAAACGTAGCCGTATGTCGACTATGTGGCCAGAAAGTCAAGCGTGGCCAGGGGGCCAATGTTGGGACTACAGCGTTGCGTCAGCATATGCAGCGTCGCCATTCGGTGGCCTGGGAAAACCGTGATAAAGATACGGCGGTTCTGCCTGCCCCAGCCCCCCTCCATCACCCGCTCCGTTACTCCGTCTCCCCGTCACCCAACGTCAATCGCCCTCTATCAGCCAGTCAAGGCTCCAACACCTCTGCTGAGGGGAGTTGTCGCTCGTTGGCATCTTCCGCTCGTTCAGATGCTCCTTCTCCTGCTACTCCTCTTCACGGATTCCGTCAGCAGTCTTTCTTGGAATCCGTTTCCAAGAGACAACAGTTTGCGAGCACGCACCCGACGGTGCAGAAGCTGAACGTCCTCCTGTCCAAGTTGCTGGTGCTGCAGTCCCTCCCTTTCCAAGTGGTGGACTCAGCACCTTTCCGAGAAATGATGGCTTGTGCCGAGCCGAGCGCGGTGGAGAGTGCCAAGCCGGCATTTCTTCGCCAAAAAGGCAGTGCCAGCCCTGCATTCACATGTAGAAGAGATGGTGGGCCAGTCTTTGAGCATGTCGGTCTCTGCCAAAGTGCACGGCAGCGCCGACGTGTGGAGCTGTAACTACGGTCAGGGACAGTACATGTCATTTACGGCCCACTGGGTGAACGTGGTGCCGGCACAGCCGCACCAGCAACTTGGACAGGTCACGCCGCTTTTGCCTCCACGTTTGCACGTCCTTGGTCCAGCAAAGATGTCCGCCTCTACCACCTCTTCTTCCGCCGTGTCCTCAGCCGCCACCCCCCCGTGCCAAGTCCCATTACCCGACCGGCATATCACATGTGCAGGGCGCAACGGTGTCACGCTGTGCTGCACCTGGTATGCCTTGGCGAACGTAGTCACACAGGGGAGGAACTTCTGAGTGTAATGAACAGAGAAATCGACAGATGGCTGTCTCCGCGCAAACTGAAAAAAAACCATGTTGACCGACAACGGAAAGAACATGGTGTCTGCTCTGCGTCAAGGAAGGTTGTGCCATGCGCCATGCATGGCTCACGTGTTCAATCTGGTTGTCAAGCGGTTCCTAAAATCCACCATCCCACTGCAAGACATCCTTAAAATGTCACGTAAACTTTGCATGCATTTCAGCCATTCCTACACCGCAAAGCACACCCTCCTTGAGCTGCAGCGGCAGAACGGAATTCCACAGCATCGCCTGATCTGCGACGTTGCAACAAGGTGGAATTCAACCCTACATATGTTAGACCGCCTTTACGAACAGCGAAAGGCCATCACCGATTTCCTGATGTTACAAGCGGATAAAGGTACTCCCCTGTGTAACTTAGATGTCAGCCATTGGCAGCTCATGCGTGACACCTGCCGCTTGCTCAGGCCCTTTGAGGAGGCCACGCTATTCGTGAGTCGGCAGGACTATGGGATGAACGACGTCATTCCTCTGTTGCACGTCCTGGAACAAATGCTGTTAAACAATGGCTGGTCAGGGTGCGGTAGACGTGGCGCACAGATCTCAACGCCACATGACCCCTGTGGGGGCAGGACAGGAAGAAGAGGAGGAGGTAGAGGAGGACATTGGTGCTCAGGAATTATTGAGTGAAATGGGTGGTTTTTCCACTCAGCGGACAGGAGTGGAGGAGCAGGAGCATCTGGTAGAGGAGGAGGAGGAGGAGAGACAGAGGACCCAGACGCACCGTGGCAGTATGCTGTGGAGATGGAGGCAGGGAGTCCCTCGCATTCCTTGGCACAAATGGCCCATAGCATGCTCGGTTGCTTGCGTAGCGACAGCCGAATAATAACCATCAGACAGAGGGATGACTTTTGGCTGTCCACCTTGTTGGACCCTCGCTACCGTTCAAAAATGGTGGCCTTTTTCACACCTGCTGAGAGGGAGGCCAAAATAAAGTACTATAAAAACCACCTATGTAGTCAGTTGGTCTCTGCCTTTCTGCGCCAACGTCCATCCTCAGACACTGTGTGGGCCTGTGCGCTCGCGGGAATTGCTTTGTATATCTGTCGCCTTAGGGGCCGCGCTGTCTGGCGACATAATTTTTTTTTCACTGTGTAGACATCTATTTATAGGCCGATGTTTGGCCACAAAAATATATTTAGTAATAACCTAGCCGTTCAGGCCGCTCCCTGAACACCTCGGGAATTGCTTTGTATATCTGTCGCCTTAGAGGCCGCTGTCTGAACAGCTCATGAATTGCTTTCTATATGTGTCGCCTTTGAGGCCGCTGGCTGGACAGCTGATGAATTGATTTGTATATATGTACTTATTGTCCGCTGTCCGGACAGCTCATGAATTACTTTTTGTATATAGCCTTCCAAACCACTCTCAGAATAAGTCATGATATTCATGCTGTGTATAGCCTTATAGGCCAATGGTCAATCAAGTCATGATTGTTATAGTGTGTATAGCCTTATAGGCCGCTGTCTTTACAACTTTATAATTCCATGCAGTATATAGCCCTATCGGCCACTTCTGGCATCCAGTTGCTGTAGCCCCCATCACCACACTGTGCCACGGGCCCCTGTACCGCCTTCTCATACTGCTGCCAGATCCATCCTCTGCCATGTGCGTCTTTGTCGTCTGCTCACGCTGCTGGGTTCCAGTTTTAAACCTAGGCCTGTGTATGGCTTCCGAATACTGCTGCCTCCACCGCCACCCTGCGCCATGTGCCTCTGTCGTCTGCTCACGCTGCTGACGGCTTCCGCTTTTTAACCTAGGCCTGTGTATGGCTTCCGAATACTGCTGCCTCCACCCACCCGCCATGTGCCTGTCGTCTGCTCTGCTCACGCTGCTGCGGCTTCCGCTTTTTAAACTAGTCCTGTGTATGTCTTCCGAATACTGCTGCCTCCCGCCACCCTGCGCGCCATGTGCCACTTTCGGGTCTCCTCACACTGCTGCCAGGTCCATACTGATTCATGGCCCCCTGTACCGGCTCCTCATGAACGTGGTTCAGCGGGTTTGCATCACTTAACGGCAAATCGTTGACAAATGCTGGGACGTTCAGTGTTGTGCGCATTAAGCCAGACACCAAAGGGCAGCACAGACCTGTTATTACTCGCTCAAAGCAGGCTGAACAAAACCAGTCTCTACCACAAATTGGACCCAGACCTGCCCAGGGTCTCGTAACTAGATTGCACGGAGGAGTAGAGTCCGTTATCGGAATTAAATAGACAAAACGCCACACCAAAAAGAGTGGCCATTTCCAACACTTATTCCAGAAAGAGGAACAACCCGTTTCATATACGGCCCGTAGACGTTTCACGTCTGCCACATTCAGTCGATTTAAGACGCAAGCTCCACTTCCTGTGGTCTCTGACCGTCGATATACCTTTAAGTGTCAGCTTTGAAGCTATATTCCCTCCGGAGCACTGACACTGGTGCCCTTCCGTCAACATGCCTTTAAGTTTCAGTTTTCAACCATATTCCCCACAGAAGCCAAACTCTTGGGTATCCCAGAAGCTGCTCAGCGGGTCAGGGCAATAAAGCTCCCGGTTCGCAGGTTGTTCCGTCTTATGGATGGAAGTACGACGGTATATGATCTTCTTCGCACCCACGGCATCCTCATAGAATCTCTGCATTGCATCTGCAATCACAACGCTGACTTCCCGGATCGCCACTCAGCCATTGGACTCTTGATAGTCGTCTCCCCACACTGCTGCTGGGGGGACTTTTTAACCTAGGCCTGTGTATGGCCTTCAATTGAAGCTGCTTCCGCTCCGCCACTCTGCCATTGGACTCTTGATAGTCGTCTCCCCACGCTGCTGCTGGGGGGACTTTTTAACCTAGGCCTGTGTATGGCCTTCAATTGAAGCTGCTTCTGCTCCGCCACTCTGCCATTGGACTCTTGATAGTCGTCTCCCCACACTGCTGCTGGGGGGACTTTTTAACATAGGCCTCTGTATGGCCTTCAATTTAAGCTGCTTACGCTTCGCCACTCTGCCATGGGCCCCTGTACCGCCTCCTCTTGCTGCTGCCAGGTCCAGAGTGTGTCATGGGTCCCTGTACGGCCTCCCATTGCTGCTGACTTCATCGCCAGACTCTGCCCCTGTGCCACTTTCTGCCATGTGCCACTTTCAGGTCTCTTACACTGTTGGTGGGTTCCATTTTGTGATAGGGTGCTGTATGGCCTTCCATTGCTGCTGCCTCCACCGCCACCCTGCGCCATGTGCCTCTGTCGTCTGCTCACGCTGCTGACGGCTTCCGCTTTTTAACCGAGGCCTGTGTTTGGCTTCCGAATACTGCTGCATCCACCGCCACCCTGCGCCATGTGTCTCTGTCGTCTGCTCACGCTGCTGACGGCTTCCGCTTTTTAACCTAGGCCTGTGTATGGCTTCAGAATAATGCTGCCTACACCGCCACCCTGCGCCATGTGCCTCTGTCGTCTGCTCACGCTGCTGCCAGGTCCATACTGATTCATGGCCCCCTGTACCGGCTCCTCATGAACGTGGTTCAGCGGGTTTGCATCACTTAACGGCAAATCGTTGACAAACGCTGGGACGTTCAGTGTTGTGCGCATTAAGCCAGACACCAAAGGGCAGCACAGACCTGTTATTACTCGCTCAAGCATGGCTGAACAAAAACAACAGTCTCTACCACAAATTGGACCCAGACCTGCCCAGGGTCTCGTAAGTAGATTGCACGGAGGGAGGAGTAGAGTTCGTTATTGGAATTAACTGTGAGGGACTTTTAAACCTAGGCCTGTGTATGGCCTTCAATTGAAGCTGCTTCTGCTCCGCCACTCTGCCATTGGACTCTTGATAGTCGTCTCCCCACGCTGCTGCTGGGGGGACTTTTTAACATAGGCCTCTGTATGGCCTTCAATTTTAGCTGCTTACGCTCCGCCACTCTGCCATGGGCCCCTGTACCGCCTCCTCATGCTGCTGCCAGGCCCGTAATCTGCCATGGGCCCCCGTACCGACTCCTCATGCTGCTGCCAGGCCCGTAATCTGTCATGGGCCCCTGTACCGCCTCCTCATGCTGCTGCCAGGTCCAGAGTGTGTCATGGGTCCCTGTACGGCCTCCCATTGCTGCTGTCTCCATCGCCACACTCTGCCATGTGCCACTTTCAGGTCTCCTCACACTGCTGGGGTTCCATTTTGTCATAGGGTGCTGTATGGCCTCCCATTGCTGCTGCCTCCACCGCCACACTGTGGCTCCACACTCTGGTTTTGGCCCCGTGACTGCCCAAATGAGTGAAGTGTGCGGTGATTCTAAGATCGACGGCACTCATCTGCATGTCATACTGACTGACAGTATTATTTCTCTTCCCCAGCAGACTCCAAGGGCATTTAAATTAAAGGTACAGTGTTCTGCACTAATATAAAGGCTCTCTGAAGCCTAGAAACACCCTTTTTATAAGTTAAATTCGCAGCGAATATATTCGGCTCGAAGCGAATTTATGCGGCGAATTCGGCGAATCAAACAGAGACACAGCTGGTAGTGACTCTAGCAAAAGTCAAACTGTATGATACATTCTTATGGTGTAGCGGATTATTGTTTTAACTTATCTATTGACTTACTCTATAATCAGAATGAGCCATCTCTTCAAGAGAAAACAAAGGCTCTATAGGTCATTAACAGAAAACTAGGAGCATTGCATCTTGGTGATTTCCATATTATAAAGCAATGATATCTAATTGACTGCTAAACATAATAGACATAGCCAATACAGCAGGCAATAGACAGCAAAAGGCAAATGAGAATTCCACTTTCGTAAAAAAAAAAAATTAATATAGCATATAAAACTGCTACACATCCCATTTTGTAAATTAATGTTATTAAATATTATCTTTCCATGGCAATCAGAGGTTGCTGTACATTTCTAAAACTGATTTAAAAAATTTAATGTAATATGTCAACCAGGAGGTGTTCTGTACACCTCTGGTATATTTAATATAATTAAGAAATGTCATTTTCTGATTGTGTGATTGGCTCATTTTCTCAGATATCTGTACTAAGTTACATTTTAGGCATCCCCTGCTATAGAAATTTATAGTGATTGTAAAAGGTGAAATTTTTCCTTCCTAAAATAAAAAAGAGCTTATGCTTACTGGCACTTTGTAATAGTATTGCACAGTGGCTGCTTACCTTCTTTCTTTTGGGTTTTCCCACAGGTGCTCTCTGCTCTTCCTCTTCTGCAAGTGCCTCCTCAGCAAACTGTGTGATGAGGGGACACCCATGGAAAAGTGATCCCGATTTGGGCTGTGTTCTCCCACAGACACGCACACAGTGGAGCTTGACCCACTTCCTCCTCACAGGATTTGAATGACAGCAGTAGGAGCCAATGGCTCCCACTGCTGCCTGTGTCTTCTGTGAGAAGAGGAAGAGAGAGCTGTGCTGGTACAAATGGTACAGCACTATGCATTAAGGTATGTATTAGGGTATTTTTTTACCTTAATGCAGGGAATTCACTAAGGTAGAAATGTTTTGACTTTAGAACCACTTTGATTTTTGGTGAAATACTCCTTAAGGGTTAAATACTTATAAAGGGATGCTGATACTGAAGATTTCCGTCTTAAAACACTAAAATTGCATCAGGTGCTTTTAATGAACACAGAATTTATTAAGGAACCTGTTGGGAAAGGACATGCCAAAACAAGCCAAAGGACATAGCCAAAACAGGAATTGAGAGGAAATCTCTCCAAAATGAGTCGTCACTAGAACTAATGTCCCCTTTGGAAGATTTTCCCTCTATTCCTGTTCTGATGACAACCCAGAAATCCCTGTGTTTTTCTCAATAGTGTGTCCTTCGATTGGACAAAGTGGAGAGAAAGTGGAGATGGTGAGGAGGATGATCTTCACTTTGTCTACTCAGAGAACGCCTTGTATTCATTGAAAAAATACAAGGCATTCTATGAACGGCAGGTGGAAAATAACAACATTGTTTAGTGCCTTGTTAAGTATTAGAATGGGGCTATGGGTTAGATTTAGCTTAGGGTTCAGGGCATACATTTTTGGTGTTTTAACATTTGTTTTGGACGTTGAACAATACCAAGGCTATGTACAACATATTTAGTGCTGTAATTTACTAAAGGCTCAAAACTATGAGGGCGAGACATAGTGGGGATGCTAAGAACTACACTCGCTAATTGCATTGATCTGCATTGATTATGCATTTATTATTTTTTACATAAGGAGCCTGGAAACCTTTGCACTCATGATCAATGGATCAGGGGTGCAATGCCAGACTCCTGCAGACAAGCCTGCAGTTTTCAGCCCATACCTTTATACAGGCTGACTGTTTACAAGCTGAAGGGCTTGTGACTGAACTACAAGGCCGCTCATCAGCGACCTCGCAGTCCATTCAGAACTAGCCATCAGCTGCAAAGGCTGAAAGTAGTTGTAGTGTGTGTATTTACAAGAAACTGTGAATGAAAGACGCAGTCGTCTGGTCGGAGCCCCACAAGGCCGAATTAGTTCAAATAATGATAGCGGAGTAGGGGAGATCCTCCGTTTGCTGTCCCAGGGAGAGGCTGCAGCTGCTGGAACATTTTACATGTTCCACTCTAAATACAGTATTAACTAGAAAAGCTACAATTTCTGGGGAAATTGTGTGAAGTGTTCTTGCCTGCTCACACACCTGGGTTCCTATGGCAACTCACTCTACAGCAAGGGCACAGAAGAGCGGTTAAAAACAAACTGCTCCAACTTTCTCACTTCACTGGCGGTTGCTATCTTCAAACAGTTGTAGTTTAAAATTATAAATCCTACACCAAAGAGCTTTATATTGTAAGAATTACAAGACCCAGACCTACATTTTGATGCATAGTAGGTGTCTGAAATATTAAAAATGAAGGCGCAGTCGCAGTTTAGAAATTGCCCTTCAAATTTGAGGTGGCTAGAGTGGAGTTTCAATGAATGTCAATGGGTGGCGTGAGTTGCAAACAAATGGTCATATTGTTAAAACTATCAGGACTATGGACATTTTTAGTGGCAGCAGGGATAGCTGAACATTTTGATATAAGATTTGTGTAGGTGGGCTTGATAAAGAGGGAGTGATGGCAGTTTAGAAATCATGTCCTGATTTTTCAGCTCACACTCTAGCTTTTGTCAGCTCCCACTCTAGTTTTGAACATTCTGCCATTCATTCCTATAAGAACCAATTTCACCACAAAAACGCTGATATTTCGTAAACCATTGGGCGAAATGTTCCACAAAGTAATAGCACACCAATTGGGAAAAATCTGCACGTTTCGGTATATTATTGTCTATGTAGTGTAAAAACTGTGGGAGGAGTTAGGGTGGTAAATTTGGCTATAATAATAAGAGATATATGTGAGATAACAGTAAGTGGTCTTGCCATGCAAGAACACTTAATAATATACAGAGGTGCTCTAGTGCCCATTGGGTAATCATACCTGAGTAGCAAAGAGTCTTTAGAGTCCATTAGAGTCCATGATTGGCAATTAATCCACAAGAGTGTCCATGTAGTCAGAGGTGTATTTACCACAAGGCAAAAAGGCATTTGCCTAGGGTGGCATTTTTCAGGAGGGCAGCACAGCTCCCTGGAAGAAGGGACAGAAGAAGGGACACGCATAGCAGGGGGACCAGGTGGGATCCGAGAGAGGCTGCGGGCTGCTTGACGGTGTATGCAGAGCCTGACTCTCATTCCAGGGGATGGCTGGAGCTCTGAAGGAGAGTGTCTCTCTCTCTCGTGCTGGGGGGGTGTGGCCGGTGTATGGAGGGTGGTGGTAGTGGAAGGCTTTCTCAGGTGGGGGGGTGGTGTTGGTTGATGTCATGCTCTCTCCGCGGGGGGGAACAGCCAATGTTTGTGTTGCCTAGGGCAGCACAAAACCTAAATACACCACTGCATGTAGTCCATACTTGGCAATGACCCTAAAAAGGCGCAGCAAGTCCCCAGTTTCCCATACCCTCAGGCAATCCTTCTTTAGGCACTTGCCTACAACTATCTTAGTGGCGGCACCCACCACCCAGATCCTAATCTCTGGTAATATGCAGCCTTAAAAATTGTTTTGTTTTTTGTTAATAAATATTTTATGAGTTTTCAATATTTCAACTCTACATCAATACATTATCATAATAAACAGACAATTTCCTTGATACCTTTCTCCCAAACCCCCAAGCCTTAAAGTTTTGTAACCCAGTGGCCAACCCCCTACTATTTCTTACTTTTTTTTGTAGGCCTTCCTACCTGGTCATGGTTCCATGCAAGAAGGGAAATTTTAATATATATCATTATAACAAAAATGTCAGTTGTTTATGATAATCAGTAAATTAGTCAGAGTTTACATCTACTTTAACTAGCATTAGAGAAGAAAAAATGTATTTGAAAAAAAAAAGTGTTTCATAAACTGTGCAGCACAAACTGCTTTAACCGCCTCCAGCACACCATATAAGGAAATGACAGGATCCAGGTGGTTCTCTCGTTCTGGGAGAACATCATATGATTCCTCCTACTTTAACCGCGCGTGTGCGTACCTGGGGGCGCGCACCGCGGCGATCGGTGGGATGCTGTGTCTCTGGTACACAGCGGATCACTGATCAGCGGAAAGAGCCGATGACTTCGGCTCTGTCATGTGATCAGCTGTGTCCAATCACAGCTTATCGCATGTAAATAAGGAAGTGCCGAAATGCTGACAGCTCGTGAGGAGAGGAGAGCCGGTAATTGACATTCCTCAGAGGGGACATCTACACTGATCATCAGGGCACTGATGATCAGTGTAGCCCCATCAGTGCCACCTGTCAGTGTCCATCAATGCCACCTGTTATTGCCCATCAATGCCACCTGTCAGTGCCCATCAGTGCACATCAATGCCAGATATCAGTGCCTACCGGTGTACATCAATGCCACATATCAGTGCCCATCTGAGCTGCCTTTTAGTGCCAACTATCAGTGCCACCTATGAGTGCTGCCAATAAGTGCCGCCTATCAGTGCCCATCAGTGCAGCCTATCAGTGTCCGTCAGTGCCACCTAACATTTCCAGTCAGTGCTGCCTATCAGTGCCAGTCAGTGCCGCCTAACAATGCCAGTCAGTGCCGCCTATCAGTGCCAGTCAGTGCTGCCTATCAGTGACATATATGAGTACTGCCTTTCAGTGCCCATCAGTGATGTCTGTGTATGCCCACCAGTGATGCCTGTCAATGCCCATCAGTGCAGTGCCTCCTCATCAGTGCCCATCAGTACTGCCTATCAGTGCAGCCCATCAGTGCCCATCACTGCAGCCTCATTAGCGCACATCAGTGAAGGAGAAAAATTTAATTTTTCAAAATGTTCAGTTGTTTTTGGTTTGTTTATCAACAAATAAAAAAAACAGTGGTGATTAAATACCACAAAAAGAAAGCGCTATCTGTCTCAAAAAATGATATACATTTCATATGGGTACAGTGTTGCATGACCGCACAATTGGTATTCAAATTGCGACAGCGCTGGAAGCTGAAAATTGGTCTGGGCAGGAAGGGGGTGAAAGTGCCCAGTAGGCAAGTGGTTAAGCTTGTGTGGTAACTCAGGAGATTTTTTATCCCAGCTATTTGAACAAGAAAGCTTCCCTACTGTTCTTTACCATGTGTTATGGAGCATACACTTAGGGGTCTATTTATAAAAAACATTTGATGGACACATATCAGACACATTCAAGCATGCTAAACACATTTTAGCTATAATTTCTCTAATAAATTAATTCCTATGTCATCATCTCCCTCTAGTGGCCAAAATGTGGTATCATTTTCTGAACTCTCTCAATGGAAAAAATATGCATTTTGGCCACTAGATGTAGCTGATGATCATAGGAATTAATATATTTGAATAATTATGACCAAAATTTGTGAGAATGCATGAATGGGTGTGATATTTTTCCAACTAATGTTTTAGATGCCTTACTGTATGGCAAAACAGTGATATTGTGTAAATGAAACTCAAGAAATAAAGTAATAATTTGACATGAATTTTTTTTGTATGCAAACCTACATTTTGTAAAAAGTCTCAACAACAAGCTAGTCAAAAGGGGGGCAGTGCAGTAATAATTCTCAGAATCCCAGGTCACAGAGAAGGACTGTTGACTTTCAAGGTCCATTCCCACCTTTCCAGTGTGCATGCATTACCGCAGTACATATTAACATGCGTTATTTGGCTTAGCTCATTACAGTGTTATTTTGAATGGTACCCCAATGAACTAGGGCAACACAGCGCCAATGCATTTCAGTGCACCATATTGTATGGTAACACCCCACCAAGTCTTGTGGTGTGCTGCATTCCCAAAAATGGTGCAAACCCATTGCTATGGATATTTTGGTGCACTGCCTTAACACAACGCATGTTAATGCCTTTAAAAAAAAGCAGGTTAATGCGACAAATCAACACAGCAGGGTCTGAATGGGCCATTAAAGGAAAAGTTCACCTTTTAAAAAAAAATAAATAAATGCGCATTTTTTGCAGGTAAAAAAATGTGCATTTATTATTTTTGTCTGCAGGAGCCTGAAAAGCAATTGCACCAGTGAACAGTAGATCGCTGATGCCATGCAGGTCTCCTGCAGACCTGTCAGAATATCTGCTTGCTGTACGGGATGTACGAGGAAGCAGACATTCTCACAGGGCCGTGGTAGTTCATAGAGGACTACAAGCTGACAGCTGCTAAGACCGCCGGGACTTGTAGTCTCTTATTCGCAGATGACTGTGAATGAGTGATGTGGCCATGTGGGCAGAGCCTCGCACAGCCATGTTTTTTAAAAATTTGACAGCTAGCGAGGGGGAAGAAGATTCCTCTCTAGCTGTCAAAATGGGCATGGGGGAGTTGTGGGGGCCGGTGTGAACTTAACATGTTACATGCTACACCCTGAATATGGGTATAATATGTAACATGTTACGAAAGGTGAACTTATCCTTTAAACTTACAGTAATCAAATATGCTCACATAGCCACCAAAGAAATTCAGTTAACAAGGAATAGTGCCGTTGTGGACTTTAGAGTTTGTTCAGGTTGTTCATACCGCTTTCAAAAAAATCATCATAGTAGTTTTTTTTTTTATATTTTGGATAGATTGTCTCGCTTTGGAAGGAAATCTGTGTCCCCATTGAGAGAACTTTTCCTCATGTTTTCTGCTGAGCATACACAGGAAGTAAGGTCATTTCTGCTGTGGAGACATTGGGGTTGAGTTATTAACCACTTGCCCGCCAGAGTATTACCCCCCCTTCCTGACCAGGCCATTTTTTGTATTACTTTAACTGACATTTTGGCTTTAAACAATGCGGTTTGGTTAAGGACCTGCTGATTAGACGAAAAAAGCATAACGGGACACCGACAAGGTCATACCTGTACTCAGGGCTTTTTTCTCCTCAAAAAAAGTAGGTGCAGCAACTCCCTACTTTTGAGTCACTTTTTATCTCAGCCTCTACCCACCTCTGAGCACCATCCCTGGTTCCACACCCTACCTACCTTCCTACCTGAGCCAGGTATCATTTTGTGGTGTGAAGTAATTGATGTAATTTGCTAATGATAAAGAAACCTGTAAAATAGACCCCCCCCCCCCAAGAACAATAGATTCCCTCAGCAACAATGGATCCCTGTAACTACCACCCCAGCAACAATAGACCCCCCACCCCCAGCAGCAACAATAGATCCCCCAGACACCAGCATCAATCCATTCTCCAGCAGCCAGCAACAATAGACTCCCTCCCTCAAAAGTAGATCCCTTCCAGCAACAACAGACCCCCAAAAACAATATATCCCCCGCCAGCAACAATAGTGCAGGGGTTTACATGAAGTTAATATGAGAGCATGTTTAGCAACTTAGTAACTAAGATCTAGTTCTGAGAACTAGTTGTATCTTTAAAAAAAATATTTTGTTCCTTATTCCTTAGAAATAGTTAACTGTGTTTTTTTAAACTGTCTGGAGCTTCTTTCCCATGCTGTTCATAACTTCTAACCAGCTAATACATATCAAATTAGAAAATGTTCATTTGTTTCTTGCTTTGCTGGCAGTTCTTATACTCTGACAATGATTGCCAATTGTCACTCAGGTTAGTGAAAGGGTATGTATGGCCAATGACTTAACCTAGATGGATCCAAAATGTGAGTCACACTAACAGGAAGTCTCAGAATCCTCCCTAAAAGAATGAGCAGCCATTTAGTCACCAAACCACTTCGTCCTTTGGACATCATTAGTTAGGTGACCCGTGCTGTTATGCAGTTCAATGTACAACACAACATTTTAGCTTCGAAACAACAAGATTGCATTCATTTAAATATAAAATGTTAACAGCTTTGACAATAGAACATTTCATTATTTGATTATTATGTCCTTTGATTATTATTAGAGATGAGCGAAGAAATGAAAAATTCGATTCGACTGATTCGGCGAATTCGTGGACAATATTCGATTAGAGTCGAATAAATTCGCTGTGAATTTAACTTAAAAAAGGGTGTTTCTAGGCTTCAGAGAGACTTAATATTAGTGCAGAACACTGTACCTTTAATTTAAATGCCTTGGAGTCTGCTGGGGAAGAGAAATAATACTGTCACTCAGTATGACATGCAGATGAGTGCCGTCGATCTTAGAATCACCGCTCACTTCACTCATTTGGCCAGTCACGGGGCCAAAACCAGTGTTTGGAGCCACAGTGTGGCGGTGGAGGCAGCAGCAATGGGAGGCCATACAGCAACCTATGACAAAATGGAAACCAGCAGGAGTGTGAGGAGACCTCAAAGTGGCACATGGCAGAGTGGGAGCAATGGGAGGCGGTACAAGGACCCATGTCACACTGTGGACCCAGCAGCAGCGTGACGAGGCAGTACGGGGGCCCATGGCAGATTTGGGGCCTGGCAGCACCTATGGGAGGCCTGTAATCTGCCAGCAACCTATGACAAAATGGAAACCAGCAGGAGTGTGAGGAGACCTGAAAGTGGCACATGGCAGAGTGGGAGCAATGGGAGGCGGTACAGGGACCCATGTCACACTGTGGACCCAGCAGCAGCGTGACCAGGCGGTACGGGGGCCCATGGCAGATTACAGGCCTGGCAGCAGCAATGGGAGGCCCGTAATCTGCCAGCACCCTATGACAAAAAATTGAACACACCAGCAGTGTGTGAGGAGACCTGAAAGTGGCACATGGCAGAGTGTGGCTATGGAGACAGCAGCAATGGGAGGCCGTACAGGGACCCATGACACACTCTGGACCTGGCAGCAGCATGAGGAGGCGGTATAGGGGCCCATGGCAGATTAGGGGCCTGGCAGCAGCTATGGGAGGCCCGTAATCTGCCAGCACCCTATGTCAAAAAATTGAACACACCAGCAGTGTGAGGAGACCTGAAAGTGGCACATGGCAGAGTGTGGCGATGAGACAGCAGCAATGGCACACTGGCATGAGAGACTGTGGACCTGGCAGCAGCATGAGGAGGCGGTATATAGGGGCCCATGGCAGATTAGGGGCCTGGCAGCAGCTATGGGAGGCCCGTAATCTGCCAGCACCCTATGACAAAAAATTTGAACACACCAGCAGTGTGTGAGGAGACCTGAAAGTGGCACATGGCAGAGTGTGGCGATGGAGACAGCAGCAATGGGAGGCCGTACAGGGACCCATGACACACTCTGGACTTGGCAGCAGCATGAGGAGGCGGTATAGGGGCCCATGGCAGATTAGGGGCCTGGCAGCAGCTATGGGAGGCCCGTAATCTGCCAGCACCCTATGACAAAAAATGGAACACACCAGCAGTGTGAGGAGACCTGAAAAGTGGCACATGGCAGAGTGTGGCGATGGAGACAGCAGCAATGGGAGGCCGTACAGGGACCCATGAGAGACTGTGGACTTGGCAGCAGCATGAGGAGGCGGTATAGGGGCCCATGGCAGATTAGGGGCCTGGCAGCAGCTATGGGAGGCCCGTATCTGCCAGCACCTATGACAAAAAATTGAACACACCAGCAGTGTGAAGAGAACTGAAAGTGGGCAACATGGCATGAGAGACTCTGGACCTGGCAGCAGCATGAGGAGGCGGTATAGGGGCCCATGGCAGATTAGGGGCCTGGCAGCAGCTATGGGAGGCCCGTAATCTGCCAGCACCCTATGTCAAAAAATGAACACACCAGCAGTGTGAGGAGACCTGAAAGTGGCACATGGGCATGAGAGACTCTGGACCTGGCAGCAGCATGAGGAGGCGGTATAGGGGCCCATGGCAGATTAGGGGCCTGGCAGCAGCTATGGAGGCCCGTAATCTGCCAGCACCCTATGTCAAAAAATTGAACACACCAGCAGTGTGTGAGGAGACCTGAAAGTGGCACATGGCAGAGTGTGGCGATGGAGACAGCAGCAATGGGAGGCCGTACAGGGACCCATGAGAGACTGTGGACCTGGCAGCAGCATGAGGAGGCGGTATAGGGGCCCATGGCAGATTAGGGGCCTGGCAGCAGCTATGGGAGGCCCGTAATCTGCCAGCACCTATGTCAAAAAAATTGAACACACCAGCAGTGTGTGAGGAGACCTGAAAGTGGCACATGGCATGAGACACTGTGGACCTGGCAGCAGCATGAGGAGGCGGTACAGGGGCCCATGGCAGATTAGGGACCTGGCAGCAGCTATGGGAGGCCCGTAATCTGCCAGCACCCTATGACAAAAAATGGAACACACCAGCAGTGTGTGAGGAGACCTGAAAGTGGCACATGGCAGAGTGTGGCGATGGAGACAACCCACCGACTGTTTTGCTCGCTGCCAAGCTGCCACCCTCTTCTCCTGATGATGCGGAAGCAATAGCCTGATGACGACGAGGCTGCCAAGTGCGATCAGCCTCATCATCATCAATTAGGGTCTCCGCCTCACTACTAGCCCCCTCGGCTGCGTGTGGGTCAGGAGACAGACCTGTCTCTAGACCGGCTACCGAGCCACTCTCCTCGCCACTACTTCTTCGCCTGGCTGCTGAAAGGCGGATGTCTCCCCCCGTTCCTGGGCCCTCTGTTAGCTCTTCCTCACTGTACTGGATGACACCGGGAGCACTGGCCTCTGGCTGCGAATAGTGCTGCCTCGACCCCTTTCCTCTGCTGCCACGTCTGCTCGCTCCTAAAACATTGCCTCCTCTGCCACTCCTCTGCATGTTGTTCTGACATACTCTTTAATTCAACGATTCTGTGTCCCTGAGTAACAATTCTGTGTCCTGTCCCTGAGTAACAATTCTGTGTCCCTGAGTAACGTTTCTGTGGCCCTAAGTAACAGTTCTGTGGCCCTCAGTAACAATTCTGTGTCTGTCCCTCAGTAACAAACTTCTGTGTCCCTCAGTAACAATTCTGTGTCCACATGTCCAGAGTAACAATTCTGTGTCCCTGAGTAACAATTCTGTGGCCCCTAAGTAACAGTTCTGTGTCCCTCAGTAACAATTCTGTGTCCCTCAGTAACAATTCTGTCTTCCTGAGTAACAATTCTGTGTCCCTGAGTAACAATTCTGTGTCCTGCTGTAACAATTCTGTGTCCCTCATCTAACAATTCTGTGTCCCTGAGTAACAATTCTGTGTCCCCCTGAGTAACAATTCTGTGTCTGTCCCTCAGTAACAATTCTGTGTCCCTCAGTAACGTTTCTGTGGCCCTCAGTAACAATTCTGTGGCCCTCAGTAACAATTCTGTGTCCCTCAGTAACAATTCTGTGTCTGTTAGCCCTGAGTAACAATTCTGTGTCTGTCCCTGAGTAACAATTCTGTGTCCCCTGAGTAACAATTTCTGTGGCCCTAAGTAACAGTTCTGTGGCCCTCAGTAACAATTCTGTGGCCCTGAGTAACAATTCTGTGTCTGTCCCTGAGTAACAATTCTGTGCCCCTGTAACAATTCTGTGTCCCTCAGTAACAATTCTGTGTCCTAAGTAACAATTCTGTGGCCCTAAGTAACAATTCTGTGTCTGTCCCCTCAGTAACAATTCTGTGTCTGTCCCTGAGTAACAATTCTGTGTCCCTGAGTAACAATTCTGTGGCCCTCAGTAACAATTCTGTGGCCCAGCAGTAACAATTCTGTGTCCCTGAGTAACAATTCTGTGTCTGTCCCTGAGTAACAATTCTGTGGCCCTGAGTAACAATTCTGTGGCCCTAAGTACAATTCTGTGTCCCTCAGTAACAATTCTGTGTCCCCCAAGTAACAATTCGTGTCTGTGGCCCTCAGTAACAATTCTGTGTCCCTAAACGTTTCTGTGGCCCTAAGTAACAATTCTGTGTCCCTGAGTAACAATTCTGTGTCTGTCCCTGAGTAACAATTCTGTGTCCCTGAGTAACGGTTCTGTGGCCCTCAGTAACAATTCTGTGTCCCTCAGTAACAATTCTGTGTCTGTCCCTGAGTAACAATTCTGTGGCCCCTAAGTAACAATTCTGTGGCCCTCAGTAACAATTCTGTGTCCCTGAGTAACAATTCTGTGGCCCTAAGTAACAATTTTCTGTGGCCCTACAGTAACAATTCTGTGGCCCTAAGTAACAATTCTGTGTCCCTCAGTAACAATTCTGTGTCTGTCCCTGAGTAACAATTCTGTGTCCCTGTGTCCCTGTGTCAGTAACAATTCTGTGTCCCCTGAACAACGTTTCTGTGGCCCTAAGTAACGGTAACAACTGTGGCCCTCAGTAACAATTCTGTGTCTGTCCCTGAGTAACAATTTCTGTGGCCCTAAGTAACGGTTCTGTGGCCCTCAGTAACAATTCTGTGTCCCTCAGTAACAATTCTGTGTCCCTAAGTAACGGTTCTGTGGCCCTCAGTAACAATTCTGTGTCCCTCAGTAACAATTCTGTGTCTGTCCCTGAGTAACAATTCTGTGGCCCTAAGTAACGGTTCTGTGGCCCTCAGTAACAATTCTGTGTCCCTGAGTAACAATTCTGTGGTCCCTCAGTAACAATTCTGTGTCCCCAGTAACAATTCTGTGTCCCTGAGTAACAATTCTGTGTCTGTGTCCCCTGAGTAACAATTCTGTGTCCTGTCCCTAAGTAACAATTCTGTGTGGCCCTCAGTAACAATTCTGTGTCCCTAAGTAACAATTCTGTGGCCCTCAGTAACAATTCTGTCTGTGCCCTCAGTAACAATTCTGTGTCTGTCCCTGAGTAACAATTCTGTGGCCCTAAGTAACCTGTGCCCTCAGTAACAATTCTGTGTCCCTAAGTAACAATTTCTGTGGCCCTCAGTAACAATTCTGTGTCCCCTGAGTAACAATTCTGTGTCTGTCCCTGAGTAACAATTCTGTGGCCCTCAGTAACAATTCTGTGGCCCTAAGTAACAATTCTGTGTCCCTCAGTAACAATTCTGTGTCCCTGAGTAACAATTCTGTGGCCCTAAGTAACAATTCTGTGGCCCTCAGTAACAATTCTGTGTCTGTCCCTGAGTAACAATTCTGTGTCTGTCCCTGAGTAACAATTCTGTGTCTGTAACAATTCTGTGGCCCTCAGTAACAATTCTGTGTCCCTCAGTAACAATTCTGTGTCTGGCCTGAGTAACAATTCTGTGGCCCTAAGTAACGTTCTGTGGCCCTCAGTAACAATTCTGTGTCCCTGAGTAACAATTTCTGTGGCCCCTAAGTAACAGTTCTGTGGCCCTCAGTAACAATTCTGTGTCCCTCAGTAACAATTCTGTGTCTGTCCCTGAGTAACAATTCTGTGGCCCTAACTAACGTTTCTGTGGCCCTAAGTAACAATTCTGTGGCCCTCAGTAACAATTCTGTGTCCCTGAAGTAACGTTTCTGTGGCCCTAAGTAACGGTTCTGTGGCCCTCAGTAACAATTCTGTGTCCCTGAGTAACAATTCTGTGGCCCTAAGTAACAATTCTGTGGCCCTCAGTAACAATTCTGTGTCCCTCAGTAACAATTCTGTGTCTGTCCCTGAGTAACAATTCTGTGGCCCTAAGTAACGGTTCTGTGGCCCTCAGTAACAATTCTGTGTCCCTGAGTAACAATTTCTGTGGCCCTAAGTAACGGTTCTGTGGCCCTCAGTAACAATTCTGTGGCCCTGAGTAACAATTCTGTGTCTGCCCCTCAGTAACAATTCTGTGGCCCTAAGTAACGGTTCTGTGGCCCTCAGTAACAATTCTGTGTCCCTCAGAGTAACAATTCTGTGGGCCCTAAGTAACAATTCTGTGGCCCTCAGTAACAATTCTGTGTCCCTCCAATTCTGTGTCCCTCAGTAACAATTCTGGTCCCTAAGTAACAATTTCTGTGGCCCTAAGTAACAATTCTGTGGCCCTCAGTAACAATTCTGTGTCCCTGAGTAACGTTTCTGTGGCCCTAGTAACAATTCTGTGTCCCTGAGTAACAATTCTGTGGCCCTAAGTAACAATTCTGTGGCCCTCAGTAACAATTCTGTGTCCCTGAGAGTAACAATTCTGTGGCCCTAAGTAACGGTTCTGTGGCCCTCAGTAACAATTCTGTGTCCCTCAGTAACAATTCTGTGTCCTGTCCCTGAGTAACAATTCTGTGGCCCTAAGTAACAATTCTGTGTCCCTCAGTAACAATTCTGTGGCCCTCAGTAACAATTCTGTGTCCCTCAGTAACAATTCTGTGTCCCTGAGTAACAATTCGTGTCTCTGAGTAACAATTTCTGGGCCCTAAGTAACAGTTCTGTGGCCCTCAGTAACAATTCTGTGTCCCTGAGTAACGTTTTATGTGGCCCTAAGTAACGGTTCTGTGGCCCTCAGTAACAATTCTGTGTCTCCCTGAGTAACAATTCTGTGGCCCTAGTAACAATTTCTGTGGCCCTAGTAACAATTCTGTGTCCCCTCAGTAACAATTCTGTGGCCCTAAG